TCACATTCTGTCTCTCACAGTTGAAGTGTACCTCTGGTGCAAATTACTGACCTCTGTCATCATTTTAAGTGGGGGAACTTGTACAATCGGTGGCTGACTAAATACTTTTTTGCCCCACTGTACTTTTTTTTTCTTTTTTTTAATGGCTCTGCACGATCAAGCCATTGGTGATATGGAACCCTGTTCATGTGTTGGGAAATAATCTAGCAGCTTTGTTTCATGTGTGGGCTGGGAAAAGCATTAGATAAGAGTCATGTCCCCACAGTCAGCTAGGGTCTTGAACTTTAATCCCGTCTACATTTAAAATGATTCAATCTAGCTAGTGGACAGTTGTTGTCTTTTGGATGCCACATAATCTCTTTCTTCAACCTCAGTGGATAGTTTGACCTTCTTGGTAGAGTTAATAAGGGGAATAAAAAAATATCAGTCAGATTATTTGGCAAAGCCTACCACCTATTATTCTATTTTTCAGTGAGCGAACTGTTTGGGTAAAAAGATAAAAAAAAGCTTGTTCCAAGTATCGTGAATGTGGAGACATTGCTTGTTATCGTAGTCTTTGGTAGGATAAATTCAAATATCTTTGGGGTTTCATTTACCGTACTAAACAATCATTTGTAAATGAAAGTTAGTGTCAAAGGTTTTGTTTTTGTTTTTTTGTTTTTTTTAACCATACTGTGCTCTTCTGTGGTCTTGAAAGCCACAAACCAAAGCACTGTGTAGAATATATGTGGATATTTTTCACTCTTCAGCAAGTAGGTGAACTCCTGTTTATCTGGGCATTTCTAAATTGGATTGAACATTTTGTCATATTGATTATAACGTAATTGGTTTTAAATATAATCCAGTATTTATTAGAAATGATCATTAGCTCTCTTTTGTTGTACATAAAACTTGAGTCTATACAGAGGCATCCTGTCATGACAATAAGCTGAAGTTTAATGAACCTGATTTTAAGAAGATTTTGATTGACCACATGGCCAAGCTAGAATAGAAACAAACATGTCAACACTCACCTAAGGTGTACTCACAATAGTTTTTCCTCCTTTTATACTCTGTGTCAGATTCAGCAAACCATTTTTAGCTCACTTTATAAAAACTATTCATGACCACTGCCACACATTCTCCACTCTACTTAAGAGGTGTGTTTTTATTCAGTCTCACTCACATTATTCCTGAAGAGACCTGAACAGACAGCTAAGTGTTTAACATTATCCAGATTTGTGGGTCATGAATGTAAGAATTAACCTTTAACTGCTCCCAATAGGATCCCAGCTCTGTAGTGAACCTTTATGGGCACTAAGAAGACCTACATGAATACCAATGGGTGGTGCAACAAACTGAAGATGCAATAATTCCTCTGTTGCCAACAATTTTGTCTCTTCATTATAAATTTGGCAGATGAGCACCCAAATTCTGGGCAGCTGTTTAAGGTCTAACTTCCCCACAAAGGATGAATAAAGTTTATTGAACTGCTAAATTCTGAAAATAGTGAAACCTGCGATTTGAGTGGGTACCAATTAATCTCCTTCATAAATGAAACTATGAAATGTAAAAATATCCTAATTGGAGGGGGTCGTGTCTTC